TGGTGCTACTACCTGGATTAGCTTCAATCTGTTGTAGAACAATTTCCTCTGTCTGCGCCGTTCGGGTAGTACGGTTTCGTCCACAATCTCTCTTATTTGGCGTAAAATTACCAGTTTCTCTTAATCTCTGATGTAAACTGCTGAACAGTTTATCAGAAGGAAGCTGGCGATTTGGAAAAGTTTCTTGGTACAACCTCCGAGCTTCCAAAGCACAACCGTTTGCTTTGCCATACATGAAGTGCATGTCGGCCATTTCAGCAAAAGAGTATTCCGGCATTTTTTGAAAGACGAGAACAATGATTTTTTTCAATTACACTGTTATTAACACAATAATAATCGAATAAACTTTATTTTTAAACCTTATGTCAAATTCGTTTACCGTAACTACAGTAATTTGACCTTTTTCCATTTTCAACTTAGCACCGACATAAGCCTACTTTGATGTAGAAATTTTTATTATTGGGCGACCATGCATGCACTATTTTCTTTGGAGAGTATTTTCTCGAAAACGGCTAGCCTGACAGGTTTTCTACAAGAATACCTTTTTTATGTCATTTATACCGCGGAATCAGAATTTCTAAAGAAAACTGCAAAAATATGACGTTTAATAAAAATGTGAACAAATTAAATCGAGGCCTCCCCTGTCGGTACGCCCCTGATTAAAATAATAATTTAGTAAAAACACTGAAAAGTACCTACTATTAAAGGCAATTCATATGCCAAAATTCAGATGGCTATCTGAAACGGTTCCAGAGATATAAAATAAAACCTATATCCCGGTGCAATCTTTGAATCGCCATAGCAACCTTATGACGCATTTGCGGACCTATGTTCATATGAACTTTTCTTCATAGTTTAACATGTAGAATCATTCCTAGAATTATTCGAACGGTATTTCCGGACACCCTGTATAATAACAATAAATGACAGTAATTTTTTTTTAAATCACCCGCCAGGGGCAGAAAAATAAAATAATGTTTTTCCAGGTAACTCAAAATGGGTAAGAGCGAAAAAAATAAGTTTCTTATAAAAGTTGTAGAGCATAAAAATAAAATTTTACATAAAAGTAATCTATTGATTTTTAGGAACACCCTGTATACAGGGTGTCCCGTTCATGTTTCAAAAAAACTTGTGTGCAAGTTACTCTTGGAATAATAATAGGGGCAGTTCATGTAAAGTTTTTTTCTTAGATACAGTGTGTTGAACTTGTTACCTTCCAAATGGTTTTCCTTAATTATTTTTAAATCGACTAAAGATAAAAATGTCAAAATTTGTACACGAGTAAACATCAACTGTGCGTTAAGAATGATGTGCAAACAGTTTCTTTCTGAAAAGCAGTGTCGCCGATACAG